CAAACTACAATTAAGTGCTCACTAATATTCGGAAATCTATCCTATCCTTTTTTGTCATTCTTGAAGAACCATGTACAAGTGAATTAGTAGTCGACCCGTATTTTTTGTAAAGCTGTTGGAAAATGTTTAGCAAATAACAATAGTAGTAACTGGATTTTGATCAAAAAAATATCTAGAACTTCAGTGGCATTACATCGAGCCTTCAGCCTGTTCGCCTTTACCCCCGACAAAAAATTGATACTGCAGAAGAGGAGCGCTGAGAAGGTAGGAGTGCCCTTCTAACCGTACAACCCTATCCTCGCAGATAAGGAGCGACTGCTGAAGCTTTATTGGGAGCAGGACCTATGCCAGCGCGGCAGGGCCTATCCGCATTGCACGGTTCGCACCCACGTGCCGTGCGACCTACTGAAAATGGTGTGCGTAGCTGGGAGAAGTAATGGATCATGGGCGAGCTCTCTGTGATGGTCCTGCACCCAATAGGCTTTTAGGGCACGCCGTATCTAAGAGAAAAGGGTAATTACATCCATAGACAATGGTTCAAGGTTTTCAAGGTTTTCTTCAGATAACCTTTCCCTTATTATGGGCCAACACTTGTTGTAGCCATCCACTATTCACAGCTGCTGAGACCAATGGTTGTTCTGGCGTTATCACAGCAGCAGTGAGGAAGCTTGAGCACGAGTTGGGCGTATGCGATTTGAGAACTGAAGAATGTCGAGTGATGGGGCGTTTTCTATACAAGGTGGGAAGTTAACTTTAATAACTACAACCTCTGCAAAGCACGTATTTCTTGAAGGCAGTTACAAGTGATGCACTTTGGGGTGAACACGAGTTAGACTATGCTGTAATAACGCGGAATATGTCGATGGACCGAATTCTACCAAATTCATCCGAAGTTTGCGATGTACGAGCCGTGGATGAACAAGAACTCGCCAACTGGATAGCATCAGGTTTGTGACATGTTGTGGGTTTAATTCGGTCAGCTTTAACGTTTTGCTCATTTTAGAGCCATCTTCATTTTCTCCATGGTTTTTGCTTTTCCATCGTCTACGGTTTCTTTCTGAATGGTGGTCAAACCTGGATGGAATTCAGAAGCACCCTGTAAATATGAATGTTGTTCGGATGAATTGATTTTTCAAGATTTGCGGCATATATTGACATTGCTTTATTGTATTGGGTTGTTTCAACTGCTTGATGTGCGCAGCATTCTCC